AATGGCCCAAATGATTTTAGACTTTGTTAACCGTGTATAGAACACGTTTGTTCATGATGGCTCAATTGTAGTAAATTGAAACCAAATGGCACTAGCCACTAGAGACTCACTGGTGAAAAGTCACTAGGTTGATGGGCTGATGTTGGGTTTGGCTAAAGTGGCTGAACTTTAAATGAGTTCATGCACACTACATTGTTAATTTCATATGTGCCCAAAAGTTGTGGGGGGTAGCGCTTCGTCGTATTATTGCGTGCTTTTCCATGGAGGCATAACTTACGATCCGACAAATGCGGTTTAAACGAACTAGAACTAGGTCTATGTATTGACCGTGATGTGATCAAATTAAAATTTGATTAATGACGGTAGTAAAATGGGGCTGTAATATTATTAAATATGAAAGTGCATGGACTTTCATTAGATATTGACATTCCTAGTCATTTATATCTTGACTAGAGGTAGAATAAAATTATTTATTCGGTGGATAAATATAATTAACGATATGATCAAACTTTATATAATTAGATTACTATTATGTGGCAAATAAATTGATAGCTAAATCTTTCTTTAAATTCTGTCAAAATAATTTCCAAATTATTTTTGTGCTTCACCTTTGATATTTTGTGTTCAATATATTCATATTCAAAAGAGTACAGTCAAGCGTTGCTTCGCGCGGTAAAATTAATATTGTGCTATATTATTTTTGGAAGAAACATTGTATTTTGGAAGATGAACGTGTTGGAAATTGATGAAGAGAGGAAAAGAATAACAACTAATAACCAGTAACAAAATACTGCAACAAATCTGGAACAAAGTGATCACGAACAAATTAATGTAACACCGAAGGCTTGAACACGACATCGCTGTCCTCAAACTGTATTTGCCCCCTTTCCTTTGTATGAGATGCTTCAAGGGATTGCCGACAAATGGTTTGTAAGATTATAACAAGCCTTGTAAGAGATTAACACCAAAGCACAAGTGTTATCTCTCAAAACTTGAAGAACACAATGAGGGTTTTTGAATATGAATAAAATCAGAATTTGATCTTTGTTTTGGAATGACAAAGTTTCTCAAATATTTTTCAATTAAATTTGCCTTCAATAGGGATCCACTATTTATAGGCAAGCCTCAAATGCACGAAAAGGTGCCAAAACATGAGCCAAATAGTCACCAAGTTCGAATTGGCAACGGCTAAAAACGGAAAAAAATGGTCACAAATTAATACCGTGCGGTCGCATGGTACAAAACCGTACGATCGCATGGTTATATTAAACAGGGGATTTAATTCCCTGGAGAGAGCCGTACGGCCGCAAGGCATTTTGCCTGTGCAATTTTTGGCCTTCATCTGTTTTTTCTTTCTTTTATTCCAAACGCCACACCTTTTGATTTTTGAACAATTTCTCAACAATTCCCCACTTGTTCAAAACTCAATAAGGTCTCTCAATTGCAAATGTGCGATACTAATGTCTAAGGATTAGATATCTTTCGATTTGAATCTATCTATAGTGTAATTCCTACAAAGTAAAGTCGAAATCAAATGTAGCCGTAGCTTTGAACCAGTTATTCCATATGACAATATCAGTAAGAACACACACATGAGCATCATGTGTTCTCAAGTTCCTCAATCTTGCTTAGTACTTTTTATGGCCTTGCACTTATCCTTGTCAACAAACTTTTAAGAGAGAAACTCCAACTCTCAATTGAGGCAACACCACCTCGAAGTTTGTATAAGTAAAGTTCTTCCAGCATCTTTGTTACTTTTAGAGATGCTTGTGTTTTAGCATTGAACTTTATTAAGAGTTCAAGGCTCAACCCTCACTTCAGTAACAACCAACATTATTTTTCTTTAGGATAGGATTATCGCGGATTTTTTATAATGCTGCAACTATCCACATATCGAACGACTTGATGTTACCCTTTGAACCCATGGATTATCCCTTTGAGTAAGTGATGGGTAGGGTTGCCGTCATTGGTGAATCTTTATGGTTTGGGAGTTTCAATCCCATCCTACTCGAAGTAGATGTCACTAAATCTCTATTTAGTGGTTTAGTTAAAGGATCCGCTAGATTCTCTATAGACTTAACATAATTTAGGGAAATTATTTCATCTTTGATTAATTTCCTTATGTAGTCGTGTCTTAGACTTATATGTCTAGACTTCCCGTTATATACCTCATTGTATGCTTTAGCTAATGTGGCTTGACTATCACACGTGATAGGTATAGAGGAAATGCCCTTCATTCCCAACGGTATCTTATAAAAGAAATCCTTAAGCCACTTAGCCTCTTTCCCAGTCTCCGACAACGCTACAAATTCGGATTCCATAATTGAGTGTGTTATGCGTGTTTGTTTCTTTGACTTCCAAGAAACTACACCTCCTCCTAGAGTGAACACCCAACTCGATGTGGATTTACTTTCTCCCGTGCTAGATATCTAACTAGTATCGGTAAATCCTTCCAACACAGCCGGGAATTTAGTGTATTGCAGGCCTAAGTTCTTGGTCTTCTTTAAATATCCAAGAACTCTCCCAATAGTCTTCCAATGTTCATTGCTCGGATTGCTAGTAAACCTACTAAGTTTACTTATTGCATAGGCTTCATCCGGTCTTGTGCATTGTACTGAATACATAAGACTTCCTATGACACTTGCATATTCCAATTGAGCAATCGCCCTTCCATCGTTCTTTACTAATTTCATAATCGGATCAATTGGGGTACTGTACTCTTTTACGTTCAAATGTTTGAACTTGTTTATCACATTCTCAATATAATGTGATTGACTTAGATAGTAACCCCACTAGTCTTTGTGACTTTGATACCTAAGATGGTATCCACTTTTTCAAGATCCTTCATTTTGAATGTGGAAGATAGAAACATCTTCGTTTCTTTTATTCTGTTTATGTGATTAATAATAATCAACATATCATCGACATACAAACAAATAAATGTCACACGATCATTACATATTTTAGAGTATTGACATCTATCCACACTATTATGTTTGAAGCCTAATGATATAATTGCTAAGTCAAATTTCTCATGCCACTTTTTAGGTGCCTGTTTTAGTACGTATAGTGATTTTACCAACTTGCACACTTTATGTTCATTTTCAGGTAGAGCAAATCCTTCAGGTTGCTCCATATAGACCTCCTCATCGAGATCTCCATTTAAGAATGCCGTTTTGACATCCATTTGATGAACTTGCAAGTCATAAATTGATGCTAGTGCGAATAAAATCCTTATTGATGTTATTCTTGCTATCGGAGCATAAGTATCGAAATAATCAATTCCTTCTCTTTGTCGAAATCATTTGGCTACTAATCTAGCCTTGAAAGTATTTAGGGTACCATCAACGTAATATTTCCTCCTAAATACCCATTTGCACTCAATAGGTTTGGACCTAGGTGGCAAATCGACAAGTTCCCAAGTATTATTTGACATAATTGAATCCATTTTATCTTTAATTGCATCTTTCCAAAACATGCTATCACGAGAAGCCATAGCTTCCCTAAATGTTTTAGGATCCGTTTCAACTTGCAGAACAAATGGAATTGTTCTTTCAACATTCATCTCATTTCCTTCTATTGAATAAAAGGAAATAAGTTGAGAATTAATTTCATCCAGTCCTAAAGACTTTTCAATCCGAGTTCTTTTGGTTCTTCGTGGTTCACTTGATTCTTCAACATCTTTTGAAGACGTTTCACCTTGTGTTCCACTTGAGCTAGGGATATCTATTTGATTTTCCCTTAATTCATTATCCGAAGATAGCGAATTCTCAAAGAACTCCACATCACTTGATTCAATTATTACATTGGTCTCCAAGTTCAACAACATATAAGATTTGCTATTACTAGCATATCCTATAAAGGCACACTTTATGCCTCTTGGACCCAACTTGGTCCTATTTGGGTTCGTGTTCTTGCAATAGGCAAGACACCCCCACACTTTGAAGTATCCAATGTTTGGTTTTCTTCATTTCCACAATTCATAAGGAGAAACATTAGTATGTTTAGAAGGAATCCTATTCGATATTCTTTTTGCACTTACTAAGGCTTCACCCCACAGATTATATGACAACTTAGCATAAGTAAGCATGACATTAACCATCGCAACTAATATTTTATTTTTCCTTTCAACCAAACCATTTTGTTCAGGTGTTCTAGGTGCAGAACTTTGGTGAATTATGCCATGTTGTTCACAAAATGAATTAAAATCATTAGAAAAGTATTCACCACCCCTATCATTTCTTAGGGTCTTTATTTTCTAGTCTAAGTGATTTTCAACTTCATTCCTATAAGTCTTAAACATATTAAAGGCCTCATTTTATGCTTCATCAAATAGACATAGGTAAATCTAGAATAATCATCAATGAAAGTTATGAAATACCTATTTCCACCTCTTGTTAGCATGCCATTCAATTCACATATATCGGAGTAAATTAATTCTAATATGCTAGAGGTCCTCTTAACACTTTTGTAAGGCCTTTTAACCATTTTTTATTCTACACATGTTTTGCATTTTATGGCATCATTTTCATCATAAGAAATTAAGTCACAACTTTTCATACGTTTCATAGTACTTTTACCTATGTGACCTAATCTAGCATGCCATAAAGAAAAAAATCAACCATGTAAGCAAAATTAACTTTATTTATTTTACTGTCAATAGTACATAGTTTGACCATTCCTTCACAAGAATAACCCTTTCCAACAAATTTTCCGTTGAGAGATAATACAAGTTTACCGGACTCAAAGACACTTTTAATGCCCAATTTTTCTAAGAGATTTCCACTCACTAGGTTCCTATTCATATCCGGAACAAATAGTATATTTGTAAGAGTAACGGTTTTCCTAGAAGTGAAGATAATGTCTACACTTCCTTTTCCAATCACTTTGGATCGCACCTCATTACCTATTTGGATCTCTTGGTCTCCATCCACTTCATTGTATGTTATGAATAAAGATTTGTCATATGATACATGTTCCGTGGCACAAGTATCATACCATCAGTCGGGAGCCTTTCCCTTAATAGCATTTATCTCGCTTACGGTGGCCACAATCCTTTCGTTTTGGATGGAATTCACATTACCTTCAGAGGTGTTGTGTTTCCGGTGTCTACAATCTTTTGCGTAGTGTCCAGATTTTTCACACACAAAGCATCCTCCTTTAGTCTTCTTCTTGAACTTATTAATGTTCTTTGAAGGCTTCCTTTTGTTGGACTTTGGCGGTTCGAATTTCTCTACAGCATTTACTTTGGAAGTGCCCTCATGAGAATCATTTTTGTCACGCATTCTCGACTCTTCCTCAATTCGAAGATATTTTTGCAATTGTTTCAAAGAATAATCTTTGGAACTATGCATTATTTTCTTTCGGTATCCTTTCCAAGTTCCGAAAAGTTTGGCAATTATAGCCCCCACTTGAAAGGTCTTCGGTATTTCGATTTTTACCGCCTTCAACTTATTGACAATCACTTGCATTTCATGTATTTGGGGTAGAAGGGGAATACTTTCCAAGAACTTAAAATCAAAATATTTAGAAATTAAAAATTTCTTGGTACCTTCTTCTTTCGGTTTATATTTGTTTTCCAAGGCTTCCCAAATTTCTTTCGCCGATGTTGTGTTTGTATATAAATCATACAAACGATCCGAAAGTGCATTGAGAATGTGACCGTGACAAATAAGTTCATCTTCTTGGCGCTTTTGTCTTTCATTTCTAACGGTTTCAGTTTCTTCATTTGTTGGTTCCGATAGTGATGCCAAATCCGGATCTAGAATATAGAATATCTTTAGTGCAGTAAGGGGAAACTTTAATTTGTCTTTCCATCGCGTGTAGTTCGTTCCATCGAACCAATCCAACCACACCAAGTCTTGATTCATTAATTTGATTGTTGCCAAAGTTGTCTCATTCTCCATTGCACAAATACAGTTTGAGATTGCTGGAAATTGATGAAGAAAGGAAAAGAATAACAACTAATAACCAACAACAAAATACTGCAACAAATCTGGAACAAAGTGATCATGAACAAATTAATGTAATATCGAAGGCTTGAACATGATATCGCTGTCTTTAAACTGTATTTGCCCCCTTTCCTTTGTATGGGATGCTTCAAGGGATCGCCGGCAAATGGTTTGTAAGATTATAACAAGCCTTGTAAGAGATTAACCCCAAAGCACAAGTATTATCTCCCAAAACTTGAAGAACACAATGAGGGTTTTTGAATATGAATAAAATCAGAATTTGATCTTTGTTTTGGAATGATAATGTTTCTCAAATATTTTTCAATTAAATTTGCCTTCAATAGGGATCCACTATTTATAGGCAAGCCTCAAATGCACGAAAATGTGCCAAAACATGAGCCAAAAAGTCACCAAGTTTGAATTGGCAACGGCTAAAAAGGGGAAAAAATGGTCACAAATTAATACCGTGCGGCCGCATGATTATATTAAACAGGGGATTTAATTCCCCGGAGAGAGCCGTGTGACCGCACAGGCCAAATTTTTGGCCTTCATCCGTTTTTTCTCCCTTTCATTCCAAACACCACACCTTTTGATTTTTGAACAATTTCTCAACAGAACGTTCGTTAGATCCTGTTAGGACCAGTGCTGGGGGCGAAACCCGTCTCAAGGAGATTTGTATTCCATACCTCACTTCAATTTATCTCCTTTGGTTTTTGCATTTTCTATACTTGAGTAAGTAGTGATTTGCTTATTATTATGCATGTACTATGATTCAGTGAGTAGTTACTTTGGTATTTGCATGTACGTGTTTTTTATTAACGGAATATAATTTATAAACTAATTTATCCAACAAGAGATGGGTAATACCATTTCAGCAAATGTAACAACATTACGGCATTTTCCATAATCTATCTGACTATCTCCATCCTGCAACTATCGTAACCCATAAAAATACCTTAACTTAAACATAAAAGAAAGCTATCATAACAACATAAATTACATTTGGGGTACAGATGATTTCATATGAATTCACCAAATGCCCATTATAAATTTCCAATTTTTAAGCTATATCAACTGCCGCCGCATAATTAATTTTTGATATATGGAAAAAGTATAAATTTTCACACAGGCAAGCAAGGAAAGGGCTAAAAAATGGGGAAACTTTCCTCGAAAAATGACTTACGAAAAATTTAGACCTAAAAACTAGAAGGTGGAAATATGGTGGTAATATTATTATTAATTTTGAAGACATGGTAGGGTAGGGCAATATGAATAATTCAATTTGATTTTTCTGCGTGAAATAAAATATCAAGTTCCGTTATTTACGATTGACTTACTATAGATAATTTTATTAATCCATTTAGTAATCTTCCACGATAATCGAAATGTGCTGATGTATTGTATGTAATCTTCTATAAACAAGAAAAAGTCATTGCACTATAGTTTCAATCAATCCATTGTCGTCCAGCGGTTAGGATATCTGGCTTTCACCCAGGAGACCCGGGTTCGATTCCCGGCAATGGAACTTTTTCCCCCTTTGAATGCCTGTCAACGGTACTTAAAACTTTTTCCAGTATAATTTTCTTCAGTCATCGAACTTGTATTTGCTCATTTTTTTTATTCATCAAATTGCAAGATGTGGTACATGATAAATCTTCATTTGTTTCCCTTTTCAAAACAATCATATAATTTTTCCCCCTCTCACGGAAGGTGATCTTCACAATTATTTTCGCACCTTTACATGAAATTAATACAATTCAAACAAAATTTATAACTTGAAAGATTACCGGGAAAGTCACATCTATCAATACTTCACATAACTTCGGAATGTGCAATTATAATTAAAAACCCTCGTATTTTGAGCATCGCAGGCCAATTGATGAACTAAACACACCCAGGACGCAAAAAAGAGAGAAAAGGTAGAATAAGTGAACCAAAATTTCAATAAAAGATTCACAAAAGGAAAGCAAAAATCAACAGTAAATTTAGATCGACTCACTTAAAGCATATGAAGTGAAGTTTGAAAATTCCTAGTATACAACATTGAAAATGAGAACGCATGGAAGAAGAATCATTCACTATTTTCCAATCCCAAATTCTTTTGAATGTCTCTGGTCAAGCTGAATTGCAGGGTGTTATGCCATGGGAACAATGTGCGTGTAACCGGAAGCTTCCTTCGAAGGTCCTGCATCCTCAGGAAATTGATCACGTTTGCATAAAGAAGAAAGCCATACCAGATTAATTTAGGAACCATCAAAATAGGTAACCTACTTTCAATGTTGATTATTTTTTATTTATAAGTAAACTTTATGAACTTTGCCAAAAATGCTCAAGAGGCTCACACTCATTCCACATCATGCAATTTGGAAGGATAATTATAGTATATGATACATCTGGTCACTAGATACACGTATGCTATTTAAATTGCTGTGTATGAAAAAATGACGTGAGAAGAATTATAAGTTCGAGTGAGAATTCGACAAATATGGCCACAAGAAGAAAAACTTGATCCATGTTATTAAGTTTATAGTGACAAGTTGTCACGCATATTAAACAATTAAACCGCATTTTCACTTCAGAACTATGAAAGTGTAATTTCTTATCGACTTTGTCACGGAGCATGTGGAGCAGAATGAGTACCTTGAAAGTAGTGTCGGGCAATTTTGAATAAGATGTCTGCGAATATAAACATTGTTAGTAAAAAATTCAGCAAAAAACCCATAAATATCTAAGTCAGAAGAATGGATAAACTCATGAGAGGTGGAAACCTGTAGGGAATTAAGATACTCTGTCTCATGGTGGCGAATGATATTGGTCAAGGAAACTGCACAATCATCCGGAGACTGAAAAGGTAAAGTGTCAGCAAGAATTAGTCATTCTGCAAAACCATAGGTATATATTATTCACCAGTAGCATCTCATATTCATAGCATGCAGTTCCTCCTCGCCTTTCAAGCAGGTTTCCTAACTCTCTGTGGTTACATCTAAGCACCGCAAAGTTTCTCATATATACCTGTTATGAGATCCTCTCCTATAAATGGGATGCCAAAACATAATACAAAAGAGTTTATTATAAAATGTTAGCACAGCTAGTCCTTCCACAACATTCTCACAGCGAATATTACTCTTTCTATGGTGTTTAATGAAAAAGAAAAGAACGACTTACAAATGAGGTACATGAAGAGGACCAATTATCCTATCCCATGGGGTTGCCACGGGCACTCACAATAGTAGGTAATCCTAACAGGCATGATATAGATAAATTCAAAAGAACACTTCAGCATTACCTGAAACATTGTTGAATCCCTGCATTCGAGCTTTGCATCTAACTGGACATTTCCCTCTTCAAAATAGTGGGCTCCTACCTATATGAAACAGAAATACAAAGGTGAGCATCCATATGCATTACCAAATACTTTTTTTTTTCTCTTTCCCTCTTTCTTTATCCCTAAGTACAATGATGAGAGGAACAATTTAATTGAATTCTGCATGGTAGTGAATGAATACCTGCAATTTACCTCTAACTTCCACAAGTTGTATGTCATCCTTGAATTCCACGGTCCATATTGATCGCCAACTTCCATTGCTACACATTAAATGAAAGGTTTTAAGAAACAGAAGGGTGTCCAAGTGTCATGATGCCCAGTATGACTTGTACAGAAATGAGGCTTCTTTCTCATATACCAGATGCACAAAACTGGTACAGTAGAAATATTTTGAACTCCTTTAACCTTTCCATCAATAAAGGCTAAACTTTATGATAAATCAATGACAAGTCTAAGCGTGTGGAATAAGAAGACTCCCAAAGACTTGCCATAAACTAGTCAGAAAAGAATAACTTCTGAGAATGCAATCCTGCTGTAATGTACAAGTCCTATAAGACTTGGAACAGAAATAGATTTATTTTGTCTCGACAGTGAGATATCTAGAAAGTTAAAAAATTAAAAATTAATTGATTCCTAAGCCTTGAAGAGGTTGAATAGCCTTTAAGGATTAACCAGACTCATTTTCAAACAGAATGAATCTTTAGAGATTTTGTGGTTGCTTTCTACCTGGGGGGAAAAAAAGACATTCTAGCAACCTAAAGTAGTAATTTAATAATTTTGGCCTGAGCTCAAATCATCATCCAAGAGACATCGAGGCATTCCTCTCTTCGTTTGCTAGATTTCAGCCTCATGACCAACATAGCAATCTCTCTCTCTCTCTCTCATTAAGAAAACACAATTTGGAGATTCAAACCAAAAATTGTTCATGAATTTGAAGTAAGCAGTCAATAATTAATTTACTTATTTTTCCATCTAGGTTTTTTTAATGAATATATCTGTCCATATTCATCATGTAAAGATATATCTTTCACTCCAATAATTATATGCTTATTTCATTTTTTGAGGATCGATGAATCAAAAGATATTTCCGTTCCAATTTTTGCCTCTTCTTCTCCCTCTGACCTCCAAGGGATAAAGTCATAGGGTAAAAGAGAAAGCCAAAAAAAGATATTTCGTGTATAATCATGCATAATCTCAAATGTTATCAATTCCGATACGTAGACCAAATAATACAATGCAAACAAAAGTTTCTAAATCCATGAAGATATAGAACCATTTGAGTCTCCAACAATTTATCCAATAATTACATATCCGATTTGACCTATTAATGAATATGCAAAATCAAGATCCTATAATAAGAACAAGAGATCTTTCTCGATCAATCCCTTCGCCCCTCGTTCATTGAGAATCAGAAAAATCCTTTTCAAGTTCGAATTTGTTCATTTGGAATCTAGGGGGCAACATCAATATTGCTTACAATTAGCTTTATTACATAATATAGGTTCGCTATTCTTCTGATTTTCAAATGCTAGTTGGTTGGCTTTCAAAGGTATGGGGCAATCAGGATGGCTTGGTCTAGCTCCCCGGGCTCGCTTACGGAAAATGAAAATGGAAGCAAATGGCATCAAGA